GGAGCCATCTGTTTTTCTCTCTCCAAAAGTACTCAGCTTTGGGATCTCCTGGAAGCGTAGGGGTCGCTCGTCCATCTTGGGCCCCTTCACCACGAAGCCCTGCTTCTGGGCCTCGCCACATGCGGAGAACAAGTCATGCGGAACAGTCCATCACTGCTGTTGCCGGGTTTGATTGGCCCAAGAATCACATCTTGAAATGATTTCAACATGCATATCCACAGGCTCATCATTGGACGTTCACCTAGGTGCCTAAAACCTCAATGGGTTGGAACATTCCAGCTTTATCCATGTCACACATGGCCTAGCCTTCTCCACCCGCTGCTGATGTGTGCAATCGTTGCGGATGGGCCTCAGTGCGTTCTGAATGCGGACCATCCGCAGTGCTGATTGGATCCTTGTGAACACTTAAGACCGTTGTCTGTGGGTTGGGGCAATGCCCAGTTCATGGGGCATTCCCAATCTTTCTTTGGACTTCCAACAGTCTCCCAATTCGGCGACTAGAATGTCCATGTGCGCTTTTCGGGTGTGTATGGACCCACCAACCAACGCCGCCGCCTTGGCTCCCTGCGATCGTTCCCTTCCTCCGTCCCACCACGGGTGCCGTTGGAATACCCCTCCGGCCCCCGCGAGTGGCCCCCGTCCATCGTCCGGTGGATGAACCATCGGCCGTGGCGGGGCTGGTTGAATGAAACATCTCTGTGAATTTGGATGTGTTCCTCTGAAACCTTGCAAAGAATTCTGACAGCTCTGTGCCTTCCTGTATCCCTCACTGTGGGTTGGATAGAAAACCCACCTTGTCTGTCTAAGCCGTTATGGACATCTTTGAACATCCAAGCTCTTCAGCATGCACGCTGATCCCATAGATCTTCTCAAAATATGTTTTCAACATGGCGCCATGTCGTCCATGATTCATATGATTCTCAGACTCTCAGAACTCAACCAGGAAAAACATCAAACACCCGAATCTCAGGTTTCGGTTCCCTTTTACTAGTGGCGAGAAGCTATTGTAGGTGGTGGCCCTCGCAAGTAGGTTGGAGGCCATCGCAACTAGTAACAAAAAGCTACTAGGTTGGAGGCCATCCATCGCTAGTAGGTTGGAGGCCATTATTACTAGTAGCAAGAAGCTACTAGGTTGGAGGCCATCGCTACTAGTACAAGTAACTAGTAACAAGGCTATGGTTTGAATTAGGCGAGAATGGCCGAGAATGGCCGAGAATGCCGAGCAGCCCATGGAATGGTAACGTCGGGAAGGAGGCCTTGCTGCATCGATCGGAGACATGTCTGCGATCTCCGATCTCCGAAAAACGCAACACACAACACGGCTACAACTTGTGACACATGTGACATTGGGGGCTACAAATGAGTCATTGCCAGTCACATTGGGTTTAACAAAGTAATATTAAACCATAAACCAAACATCACACGCTTTAAGGAATTGACTAGTACTATTTTGAAGTAATTTACAAAAGAAGCCGTGCCCGACGACATCCTTGGAGGCAAGGTCGCTGCCAGAATTGGAGGCGTCGGTCGGAAAAGGGCCCTGTTCATCTTTTAGTCGACCAAAAACGGGAACCGACCAAAAAACGAAAGAACTCAAGACTCAAGACTAAGAGAGAAATTATACACAAACCATTGTGTTCACGAAACCATGTCCATCAGCAGTTCCAAGTTTTTGGATGTTTTTGGTTGTTTTCAGACTCGGTGTTCGGGGAACCATACCTCTATTAATTTAATAATGAATCAATGTGACATGGAACCCTAGTATGTTTCTTCAATAGAGAAGGCCACTGAACAAAATATTATCTGAACATATCATATCTGAACTAGACGCAAATCTGCAATGCCACACTTCAGAAATAGACATTGTTGTTGGATCTATTAAAATATTTTACCGACCTGAACTGTGCAGAAACGGGTCAGCGCGATTTGTCCCCCGGTGTATTCTTGGTTTCAATCCTTGATGCGCCAAACCAGTCCCACGCAGGATTTTGCACATGACATAACTATGCCAAAGCACCCCATCTCAAAATGCCGATACGCGCTCTTGATTGTGGCCGCCCATTTCAGGCTTTGGTTCCAGTCCCACTGGGGGATGTCGAAACAGGTCGAAACGCACATGCAAGCTTCCTGTGCAAACTCCTAGGAGAAGGGAATTGACCCAACTGGGCCCGCTGGGTGACGTGGCCCCCTTTTCAACATCTTCCGTCTTTGCTCTGTATTCTTCTCTTTAATTTTGTAAATACTATAATACTTACTTACATCATCAAATACTGGTAATAATAAAGAAAGAAAGACATCAATACAAAGCATGATCCCAAGTCCTAGCAGATTGGATGCAAATTGTCTCATCAATCAAGCCCTGATGACAGCTCGGCCCGTCCAGCGGTTCCAGATGGTTCCAGCTTTCTTTCGCCCAGCAACAGTTTCAGCCTGAACCTTGGAGTAAAAGGCTGAACTTATTTGACCATCAACCACCCAGAAAAATAATAGATTATAATAGAATATAATAGATCAATAAAGATTATATTCTGGACGATGACGATGGACACAAAATGCATCAAGCTACCACCGGCGACCACCGAAGAAGCCGCACGCCATCACCAAGGCTGGGTCGACACTGGAGGTCCACACTGAGCGGTGCTCCGCCAAGGCGAGGTTCGGGACCAAGTACGTCTGTGGGTGGACGCCGTGCCGAATGGACACCGTGTGTCGTGACGAGTCGGGAGGTTGGAAGAGGATTTTTGGGCGAGGCCTGGCAGTTCCAAGTTGGGCTGGTGAAGTTGCTGATAGGGTGTCTCCGAGTTTTTAGGGAAAGTTGCGAAAGGAGAAATTCCATCAAAAGCAGGGGTGAGTTTCAGTCCAGGTCCACTCACTGTTACAGTGTGAAGGCAGCTCTAGGGGACCCGTTCGTTGGCTTCCTTTATGGATCATGCATCCTCCCCCAAAAGGATCCCATCATGCCTAGCAGCCTAGCAGCCTTAGACGTCCCATCATGGCCGGCTTCAATGGGCTTCCATCTTCCCTCCCAAAGACACTTTCGCCCAGGAGCTCCAGCCTTCATCGCCTGGCGAAAGAGACTCCGCATGGAGCAAATCGCCCAAGATAGGTGATGTGATGACATGGACATTGAGTGGTAGATGTCTCAAAATTATAATGTTCCAATATATACAATACTGTGTATATATATATATATATGTCATAATGTGTTGATACATCTAACAAACTCACCAACAGCAACAGTGTGCAAAGAAACTTGATCTTCGAACCCTGTCAAGGCATGCGGAAGCTACGATGAATTGTCCAGTGAAGATTCCCAACCCACGAGCCCCATGGGCTTCAGGTCGAGTAAGGTTGTTGTGTCAAGGAGGCACGAATTGTGCTATCTTCCAGATGGTTCAAGCACGAAGTGACAAGCAAGAAGGCATGCACCATCGAGTCCTGGTGTTTCGCACGCTCGGAACCATTCTCTTCCCGAACCGGTCCATTCTTTCGTCGTTCCCCCAAGACGACCGTCAGACAGTCTCAGCATATCTGTGTTCCCTTCAGCATTCCCCCAGACATCCCCCCTGCCACTTCCTCAGACATCACCAAGACGGTTTTACGGCCAAAGCTATCTAAACCACCACTTGGGAAGACTGAGCCAAGAGTCTTGAGGGGGATGTAACATAGAGCTATCCCTAGGGCTTCAACAACAACTGAAAAGAAGGTGGTGTGGGTGGCTTGGGGGTGTCTGTCCCTACCTTCTGAAGACGCCGGGAGCCCTAGGGTAGAAACAACATGTGCAACATTGGCAATGGGTTCGGGAACTCCGCTCCCTGGCTCCCTCTTTCATGGGGCATACATGGATAACCCCAACTCTGGATCGCTCCCTCCTCAGCAAAAGCTACTAAAATTCCCGCTGTGTCTGGAACACTTCAACCCTTTTCCACTGTTGGGCTGTTGACCTCCGAATCGGATCGAGCTCGCCCCCAGCCTCTGTGCACAAATGCGCCCCCAAAGGCGGTTTCACTCAATGGTGAAACAAACTGTTCGGCCACGCAGCAAGTTCGCCAGGCGGCCAACGCTTTTCGGCCACTGGTGACAGATCCTTCTATCGATGGAAGGGATCAAACTGAGAGGCCCAGTCGATCGCTTGGAGAGGCCGAATACAGTATGGAGAATTCAATTTGACCTGCTTGGCCGCCTGGTTTGAGTGTCGAGTCAACTGCTGAGCTACTATATTTGGGTCAGTTTGCCTGAGATCGTGCAACATGTGACATGTGCCACATGGTTTTTAAATGCTCAAATATCTGCTGTTCGCTGGACGCCTGTAGCCTGTATAGTCTTACTAATCCCTGAAACTGCAAATGCCTATATTCATTGGTCGCACTTTCAAACATGCAACCGCTACACGTTCCGAGCCAAATGGATCACCCACCGGCGTTCCAAACCACGGTCCGACCGCCCGGTTGACCGTCGCGATCGCCTCGTGCCTCGCGACGCAAACATGAAGAAGTTGTGCAATACATGATGCCAGGCCATAGGACATGCAAAGATTTGACTTAGGCAAGCTTCACCACTTTCTTGTAGATATACTGTATACATAGTTGTATATTGTATACGTATGTGTGTATATATATATGACTGACGAAATCTATTTGGTACTTGGCTCAAATACACTATCTCTTATGTGGGGGCCCTATATCGTTTTAGATTACTTAAGCAGGAGGTCATGTCACAGTATCTCGCTCAGACTACTTTAGTAGCAAATCACACTATCTCGTTCAGACTGCTTTAGTGACATCAAACAAAAGTATCTCGTTTATGTGGGGGCCCTATCCCGTGAAAAGCAAATAGAGCACACCATTACAGTATAGTACTGATTTATACTGATATCTCCATATCAATCCCAAAATGGGACACCGCTTCATGTTTTGTTGCGCAACGATCCCTGACAAACCCACCGGCGACCAAACCAGACCGGCCGTGTCCCAACGGTCGAACGTTTGCCCCTCTCTCTCCTGGTCACCTCCTGCGAATCCAAGAAAATGGGCGGTGAATCAGCGGCCTCCGGCTCAACGGATCGCGGTAGTCGCGGGAGCGTTTTGGGGATGAAAGATCGTCTGAAGGTGGAGGGGGACACGCGGGGACCCTGTTTTGGGAAAACACCGGCGACCAGTGTAGTCGCGGGCAAGTCAAAGACACCAGACACTCCCTGCATGGAAGATGAAGATACCACCCCATTCACCCTGTTCAACCATGCACCACTCCCATCGTCGTGGGCAAATGGCTATGGCAGTTCCACGGAGCGTCCGAGGGAAGTGCCTTGCGTCCTCGGGCCCGTCCTCGGTTGCATCTTGAAACAACGAGAGTAGTTTGCGTGGAATCTTTTGGACGATAAGCACTTCCCCAGGCGCTTCAAAACAAAGCACCTTCCAAACAACATGTGTCCAAATAAACATGTCTCCACACCTTTCAACACTTCTCCAGCACCTCCACAGCCCAGTCCCCGAGTGCCCGGGCCGCCAAGAGCTTCATCACACGCTGGGCCACACTGCTGTCATGCGAACGGCCACAAACGGCCACCGTGGCCGTGACTCCCACGGCATCGGCGCCCCTGACGAGGGAAACGGGGGCGAACGAGCGGAGGTGGACACACACCTACTAGCGATGGCCTCCAACCTACTAGCCGAGACGAAGGTTTTGTTTTGGGTGATGAGTGCAGTTATGGTCAACTACTATGAGTGTCCAAAGCGATAGAAACAAACTTTTCCGAGGGCATTTTTGAGAGGGGATTCACGTTTTGTGTTTTTTCTTCGATACTTTGAGGGCGCTATCAGGACTTGAACTATATAAGAGTAGTGATAATATCTTGCCAACTATATTATGGCCTTTCCTAGACGGGAAACCATAGACAATTATAGAAACCACCTACTGAGGTTTGGCTTGCTTCCGGCAAGTGAGCAAAAGTTTACGACACACCAAACACCCAAAGGCCAATGCTTGCACAGAATCTTTGTGCTAAAACTTACCTTTGATGGATCACAAAGCTGCAGGACAAAAAGAAAACTACTTGGATCAAGAATATGTTCCTTTTCAGGTCCAAAGAACTAGCAAGTCCAATGAGGTTCACGGTCAACCGACTGCATGCAGTCGTATTGTTGATGGACCAAATCCGTTACTGCCAGTGGAATGTCCGGGAACCAGCCATGTTTTGTATGTTTTTGCCGTGTAGGTATTGTTGGGTATTTCATCGGCGGGAGTTTGTTTGTCCCTCAACCATAGGATTGGACTGGGGGCCAATGAATGTGGGACGAAGTATGGGAACCCCCATCAACATGACAAGCACTGCCCTTAGTGTCTCTAAACCACCTATACATCTGTCACAAGTCTTTGTTCAAACCTAAGGTAGTGATGTTTAATCTATGTTTAATGAAACATGTTCAAACATAACCGAGAACTTCAGTACAAACATCTACAAACAAATTCCTTCTTCAATCGCATATCATTGCGTAGAGAATCCTACACGTCACTACACTAATTCCAGTAGAGGAATACCTATTCAAAAAAAGAAACTTTGTTTTTTTCTGCGAAGCCTGTAAATTGAAAGGACACCCTCCTGTCCAAGCAAGGCAATGGGACAGAAGCCAACTGAAAGGCCGGATGAATCATCAAGTCATTACCTACAATCTAAGAGAAATACCGAGTATATATGTATATAATATACACCCTTTGTCCAACAAACACTGAAATAGACCATCGTCTTCTCCTTGAACATGAAGAGCTTTGCATGTAATTAGGTAAGCTTCAAGTAGATACATGAGGGCATCAGGAATGTATGGTCCTGTATACACTACTTGGCTTGTCAACTCGCCACAGGACACGGCAAACTGATTCAAATGCTGAAGTCAAGTGCTGCAATCGTCCGCGTCCGCTGCGCTCTCAAAGACTAAGAAGGGCTACATAGAGGGCGATGCGAACATCTTTGGAAGTCGCCCATAGAAAACCGCGAAGCTCCTTCTTTTTGTTGCTCTTAGTGTAAAGCAAGGAATCCCCACAGCGAGGCCATAGCGAAGACGTGCACACGTACCATCTTCTGGACCATTGCGTGGGCGTCCAGTACGTATTGCGCACCATTATTTCACTTGGTGCCCTGGCGCGAAATCAGGTCTTGGCTGGAACATGCTGGAACTATGTGAAGCTTCTAGTACCAGAAGCGAAAACATGGTACGAGTATGTGTCATTTTGCCTCTCTCTCTCTCTCTCTTCTGGTTTCACCTGCTCTGTTTTTTCATCTTTATCCTTCTCCTTTGTTCGGAGCACCAGTATGATCAGTATGCGCTACCTGGCTCTGCAGACGGCGGACACCAAAGAAACAAAGTGTTGGACAATGATACCCACGCTGAGCTTAAAACTGATGCCCCTAAAATCAGCATGCTAAGTCTTCGAGTTGGCACTTGAGCTTACGCGGATCTGACGACAGTTGTAACTGCTTTGCCCTGAAATGCTATCACTGCAGCAAGAGCAGTTTTGCTCCTCAGCTGGTTCCACAACGTAGAAGAGCCCTTCCTACAGGTCATTCAATCTGGCACGTAACTTAACTCATACTAGGAACAAGAAGCTACTAGGGGCTCCTGGCCTTACTACTCTAGGAGCAAAGAAGCTACTAGGAGTTTTTTCGTGCGCTAGCGTAGCAATGCCAGGTCATTCGATCTGGCACTTTTGCTCCTCATTGGCAATCGGCACTGATCCGCCCTGCCACCTCCCCATCGGTCGAAGCTCGGTGATTCTGGTGACCAGGTTCTGTTGAGGATCAGTTCCTTCGTGATCAGTGCCGATGGTTGGCAGAATTCCGATGGTTGGCTCCTTCAAGTGCCACAGCTGCAAGAAGGGCGGCAATGATCCCTCCGAAGTTCCGAAGGTACATTCCTGTTGTCACTTCAATTGGAAGACTTTGGGAACCAAGGAAGTCCTGGATCAAGATCTTCTGCTGAAGCTGTTTGAATGCCTGCAGGACCTGAGAGACCTCGTCATCGAACCAAGGTTAGTTCTTGGGAAAATACATTGTCTGCTTGAGAACCATTTCAGACATGTTGCCAATGTACACACAAGGAAGCGCCCGCATGCAGCAGGTGGAGTTGCTGACAAAAGTGAACTGAATCTTCCGAAAAGCATGCATTATGTAAGCATTCAATAGATGGGTGGGCCTCTGGACTCAGGATCCATCTCTACATCCAAAAGCCTGCTCAAATGAGTTGTGAATGTCCTCACACATGATGAGGACCTCTGAAATCCTGGATGTGAGTTAGAGCCTGCTTCACCCTCCCATAGTCATAGAAGCAACGTCTCTTGGTGACCTCCATCATGCAGGGTCTGCGGATCTGGCTGATCTGGCTGTGTATCTTGAGTGTTCTCAGCTTAGTTTTAACCCACGGGCAAAGGATGGCAAAGGTGATTCTCCGACTTGAAGGGATCATCTGCGATAAGGTCAATTGGCATCTTAGTTGAGTCAGGGATGTGGCTTGTCTCTTGCTAAATCCTGTTCTCAGATACAAACGGAATGTTGTCTTCTGACAGTGCTTGCAACCAAGATTGAATAGACTATGATGCATCGGTTACTTGACTCTTCTTCTGAGATGGAAAAGACCCTTCAAAGTTCGTTCGGATGTAGCACCCCTGCATGCTCGGGGTCGACATCTGCACACCCAGGCGGTTGAGGTCTTGCTCACCTGACTCTGGAGCTGGCTGGGCAGCTGGGCACCCCTATTTAGTGCCCTGAGTGGAAGACTGTTGTTCCCCTACTTCTATGACTGTTGGAAGAAGATCAACACGAAGATCTGCCCCCCTCCTCATCTCTCCACTCTTCCCAGGCCTTCCAGCCACGACCTGCGAGTCTAAGCCAGGCGCCGCGTCTTTGAAGCGTTGCTCGATCTGGCGGGACGGCGCACGGTGGACGGGGGGCCTGTGTGGATGGAAAGAATTCCAAACCCACCCTTGCGTGGCCAATGAACAAGTGTGCTCTGCTCTCCACCATCGAAGTTCGATCGACCGGTTTTCGAAGTTGACCGCCCGCGCTTGCTGGGTTGCCCAAAAACCAAAAAGCTTGGCGGATGAAGATCTCTATTTCATGGCCCCAGAAGGTAGCAGCTTGACGGTATTCACTTCTTAGATGGTCTTGATCTCGATGTCCCCTGCTACTTTTGCGTGCGAATCTTCGAGCTGCTTCACCAGACATCAGCTCGTGCCTGTGGCGAAGTTTGTCGTTTTCCTGATCTGAACGCTCCATTCAGCTCTGCTGAAGTTCAGTTCCAAACAACCTGCCCTCGTTCCTTTGATGGCTAGCTGCCCAAACCGGAATTATCCAATCTGTTATGATTTATAGTAAAATATTCTCTGACGTCTTGGAGGCTTATTTTCTATTGAACCTTTTAAAAGCTTGCCAAATCCCGGTCGCAATCGAGTAGCATGAGTAGTAATTGAGTAGCTGCCCCTTCAGACTTTGATTCCCGCCATGAGTCTCAATGCTGAAACCCTTCCCGCAGAGTGTCACTCCACCCGCCTTGCTCTTGGTCTCAGCTTCCTCCAAATCGGCTTGCCTGGAGAATACATCGACACACCGCGGCATGATTTAGCTGCGATATCTGCAGAAATACCAGGCTGGTCTGGCTGGTCTCCGTACAAACTAAGATGCTGTGCCGCTGCGCTATGAAAACCAGGAGTTGTAGCAAAGGAAACCATCTTTTGGAAGTCATTTTCAGGGTCCATGTTAGACACTCTAGGAGAGTGGCGTAAGAATCCTAGGATCATGCACTTCTCAAATGACAGTCCAGCGCCTGCACATTCATTTCTTGTTCATACTATACACTAGTTCTATCATGTTATATCATGTTCTATCAACATGTAACATGGTATTGAAACCCAAACTTTGGGAGGAACATGACCTCCATGATGGAACATGTTGCAAAATGTCCAACCCTACTGGATCAAGGTGGTGCCATGCAATCTCCTGGCATCCCAACGGCCGGCATCCCGTGACCAAATTCGTCTCTCCCTAGGCCCTACAACAAACATGGACGTGGAACCCACTCCTGTTTGTAGATGAACATGGTCTTCCAATGGGCCATTTTCCACTTTCATGTTAGTTCAAAGGCGGAGAGCATCCTGAGTGAACTTGCGCACGGACCTCGGCTTTTGACTCTGACAGATTGCTTGCCTAGCTCCCTGGAGAGCGAAATAGCTCCTTAGTCTCTGGCAGTGAATGCCTGAACTGCCACCCATAGCTTTTGACCCTAAAACCCACCCGTCTCTTATCACTTTTAATGAGAACCTGGCCGCACGGACCCTGGTCTTCTTCCATCCAATGAGCCAACCAAAAGCGAGGTCTCCCGTCTCCATGTCATCCATTATCGCCTCACTCGGTCCTCCTCCATCTCATCTTCCAATGCCTCGAGCAACGAAGAATGGAAGCACTCTGGGGACGAGAGGGACGCCCACGTGCGAGACCGCCCAGCTCGAGGAGGAGACCGCCCAGCTCCAGAGCCAAGTGGACGGCAGTCTTTTGAAGAGAGCCACAAAAGGGGGGGGGGTCTTCAAGATCTGTGGGGGATCTAAAGAGAGCCAATCCCCTTTTTCAGCTTCAACCGCTGGAAAAACGATGGCTGGAAAGAACCATGACTGAAGAACCGAGAGTTGCGTTGTTTGCCACGTTGCCTCTGAAGGTGAGAACCAAGCTCACATGAGTGTCTGCCAAAACGTACTGTCAAGCAGAGGACATGATTCAGCAAGGTGATCGCCTTTGGTTTCACAAATTCACGACCGCTCTGTACTAAATTTGTCATCGCACGTTTTGGAGGTTGCTCACATACACCTGCAATGATTCCCAGTGGTGGATTTCTACCGGACAATCATCAGAATATAGAAAACACCGCACCAAAAACAATGCGTTGTCTCAGAAGATGTTTGAAGAACAATTCGCCAAGAAGATGTTTGAAGAACAATTCGCCAAGAGGGACTGGTGCAGGTCAGTCATGGCGAAAGTAAAGAGATTGTCTGGTCGGTCTAACGCCATGCTGTTCCGTCACCCCACGCCACTCGGTCGGCCCTTCGGCCCTCAGCCTCAGTGATTTGTTCATGCGTGCACCATGTCGAACGTACGAGCCAAGCGTCCAAGAGATCCTCAATGGTCCGCAAATACTGAGTATTAGTATCACCTTGGCAGTATCACCTTGTCCAACAAAAAAAACTTGCAGGAGGTTCACTTTCCAGTCTTTTGTGTGTGGGTACAATCCTGAGGATTTCTCGTCTTGTGTTCTCATATCAAATATTGATCCAGGAAGGCTCCACTGGCAAAGCCCTGAACATGACACACACTGATGACGCAACATTTTGATGCAAAACATATGGCGTTCTTTAAACTGGTCTGCCCTCCCCCACCCGCGGCCCAAACTCATCAAATGCTTCCTTCTCTAGGAGGGGTCGTTGTCCTTCCTGACATTAGGCCGTCTGAAAACATTGAGGATCTAATTCATGGATATATACATATATAATGATGTATAATTACATATTGTTATTATATATATATATACATATCTACATCCCAAAGAACAGTTTCCATACACCGCCAAATAATATGTCACCGGAAATCTTCGCTCCATCAAATGAATAGTGCTTTTTCTTCTTCACCACCCAAACAGTACATGACACCGGCATATGTTATCATCTGGTTACACTCATTTAATTGCATCATATTACATCTCTTTGACCCCATCAGTGAAGCTCAACTCACCGGAAACGCCCTCGTCAGGCCTCCAGTTCGGCCTCCAGGGCAGCCAGCTGCTCTTCAGCAGACTGATCGAGAGGGAACAGCATCCGAGTGGTGACGAAGGAACGGGATAAGTTGGAAGACCCTCCGACATCAACCTATAGACCCAACCAAACCCTCCAACGATGACATGTTTTGGGGACTTCGAGCCACTTCGAGCTTTCAGCCATCCGGTGACAGCACTGACAGCCGATCAGTCGACCTCCGGTGCGGATCTTCTTCGACAACGAAGACGTCGGCACATCAGCGGCACCCAAACCGTCGACCGAATCAACATCTTCTGCCGCATCTTGGGCCCTCATGCCACAAAGGGCAGCCACAAAGACGGTACCTTCCCAAGAACAATCTGCGGATCAGTGATTGGTGTACTGTGGAAACCCCTCTCAGTGCCCAAAGCAGCCTCCTCCTGCGCTCGGCAGCTCAGCCGGGATTGCCGCGAGCGCCGCGCAGCCTGCCAACAGGTGCGGGCTGCGCGCTGCGCGCCCGCTGCGCTGCCGTGCGAGTGACAGTTTTGGACTGTGCAGTGCTCATCCTCCTGATGTTCATGCAGACTCATACTGAGCAATTCAGTTGCCATCGGTGTCCCACCACTGTCCCTTGCATCGTTTCCCACTCGAGAGATGATAGAGTCAAACGAATATCACATATCGTATAGCCAGCAAGGGCGTCATCACGTATTGCGTATCGTAGATGTATCGTAGATACATAGTATGTATGCCACATCAACACATGGCACTTGTCCACTTCCAACATCATTGATTGCGGTCAATACAGCGCAAGTGATGACACATCACCAATTACCAACAACCACACAACAACAATACATGTTACTCCATTGCAAATCACAACTGCAACACAACACGTAATCACCCTCAAATGCCGCAATCACTTTATTTCTTCACCACTTCTCGTCACATCATATCACACCGTCAAACATGGCAAATCATACTTGGACATGTTGACAGGAAAAGAAACCTATCAACCAGCAGTTCCAAGGAGTTTTTCAAACCCACCAGCTGAGTGGGTCAACCTTGGGGTCGTGGGTACCACATGCCTACCACATGCGAGGCCCTTGGTCCGATGCTGATCCGCCTGGACACCCCGCGCTCGGAGGCGACACACGGCGAGGGCCGTCACGGCGGTTCCGGTGCCTGGAGGCCGGCGGAGGTGCTTCAGACTGCTGGGCTTTGACTGCTGGGCTTCGGTGGATATCTTGGGGTGATGCAAGAGGAAGGACATAAGTGACATAAGACGTTAGTTGGGTATTGACTCATGGTGCATGGAATTGGGACAAATCAAATCTGTGTGGTGGAATAACATGCCCAGTCACGACAAACATGAATCACCAAATCAGCAGAAAGGAAAACAAGGTATCGAACCAGTGAATCAGCATATATCAAAATTGTTTAAAACTAATAAAATATACATATACTTAACTTAATTGCAGCTATGGCTATGGGTTTGTGGGATCAGTTGAGGGTTGAGCTAAATCCAGCTGAGGTCATCAAAACTGCAGGATGCACCCCACCTGAGCAGCTTGCAGCGCCGAGCTTGCTGTGGGCTGCAGTCCATCTGCCAAGCGCAGGGCAGAAACAGAGGGTTTGTGCAATCACAGGTGGGTATGCAAAAGTGGGACAAGGTGCGTCTGGCAAACAAGGGAACCGCGACGCTTTGTTGCGGTTCCCTTGTGGTTTGATGCAACACACACTGAACGGCAGCGAAACGGCGGAAGGGTCGAGAGTCAGGTTTCTGTCCTTCTCACGCCATTGAATATCTTAGAGAAAACAATGCAAGTTTATGTTTCAAGTGTCTTGTTATTTGCCGGTGAACAACTCCAAGTTCTCCAAAGGTCTCTCGGATGCAACCAAACCTTTTCAGATGCTACACGGAACGGAACCTCCAAACTTACCCCAACCATTTGCGAGTCCCTATCACCTTTTTGGGAATGTGGGGGGTCTTGCAGGTCTTCCTGCCTGGAACCAAGGCGTCTCATTCTCTCGGGGCTGAGAGAAGAACGTGCAGAGTGAGCGTCAATTAAGTGGAAGAAACTCGTATTTCACACTGAGCCACAACCGTTGGTGGGCCACAACAAGGGACCATGTACCACTTTTGAAGAAAACTCCACGATTGAACCGGCGATCGATGGCCGATGTCTGAAACCCGATGTCACGCCACGAACGGGGACTTCGGATGGCATCATCCTCAGCCAAAGCACCATGGTTTTGCAAATGACGACATGGTGTGATGGGTTTGGACATGTTGAGAGTTCCAGTAGCTTGCAGCATGTTCAATCTATTATGTTATATAGATATTATATATGGAAAGGACACCTGGGTTGGATTCCTTACATTTTCTCAACATGGACCGCCAGGTGAACAACCGCCGCCACCCGCACACACTGCCTCTTGGTGTCCAAACCAACTCCTCGGGCCTTGGTAGTCAGTGAGGCGAACGCGACGCTTGGACTCTGGACGGTTCCGATACTTTGACACCCGATCGTCCTTGAGGCACATCATAGCTGCAGTGAGCCTCTTGTAGCCATACTGCCTCAGGAGCTTGCACCTCTTGCTTCGGCAAGGTTGTCTTGAGCTCTCACGTGGCGTTTGGGTGCCTTCTATCGCTCGCAAGCCTGGCAAATCCTGGTGCCAGTGACAAGTGAGTTACCCAGAACACACTTCTTTTGCGGAGCATCGTGTCTTGGGCGAGTTTCAGGAGCTTTTTTGGGGGGCTTCGGCAGTTGGAGTTTTGGGCCTATGAGCCTAAAGTGTGAGGGCAATGCCACCATTGAGATGGGGGTCCATGAACTCGTTTATTGCCAGCTCCATCCTCAAGATGGCATCCACTGCAAGGGATCGTCCGCGTTTAAAGCGTTGGTGCATTGACCTCTGACGACTGCAAGTTCGTGCTCAAGGCTGTTCTCCTTATAGGGGTTGGATTCGTTGTGCTGGGCCAATGTCTGGCACAAGACTCACAAGTTTCATGCATCTTCGGGGAAGCGTGGCCAAACTCCCATCGAGATGCCCTTGAATCTGAAGAGATCACGTGGCCAAAGGGTGCCGCTCACTATAGCGACATGCCGCATGCCACATTCACCAGGCCTCGCCAAACTGCATGGCACAGCGACATCACCTATCAGATTCTTTATTTAAGTTAGCCTGATGGAAACTCTACAAGCGACTAGTAACGGAAAAATGATGTTTGAAAACATTGTCCTTGTAAAGGGAAAAGGATGATCCTTTCATTTAGATGATGTTAAAACTTCCGATACCAGCTTAATCAATGATTTCATGAACTCAATAGCCTACATCCTAGACTCCTAGACTATCTTAAGCTCTTCCAGGTTCCCATCTCTAGGGGTCCCCCTATGTGGGGGACCCCCCAATGGACCCGCTGTTTATACAGCTATGTTTCCCCAAGCAGTTTACTGCTCGGGTTCTCAATGCCTTTAAGTGTGTCCACGTTTGTGTCCGCCGTGGCAACTGCAATTCTTTACATTCGTCTCGTCTGACCAGTCTGCCCTTCTTCTGGCAAGTGCTTAGTAGCAAATTTGACATTTTTCTTCCAGTGTCCGCCTGGAAAACCCTCAATAGCAATAGCTTATATTTGTCTCCCGGTCTGGGCGCACTACGTCCGCCGGGGGTCTACGATGGTGTATTTTTGGGAGGGGTCCGTTTGCTTTTCAACAGGTGGAAGGGAGATCTATGCTGGTGACGATTCCATGGCGGAGGTTTGTCAACACTTGTGGGATCCCTCCATTTTGGACGACCGACCTCCCTCCCTCGCCCACCTCAATCGCGAGCGTCGGCCCGGAAGGGCTCCTCACCGGTCGGTCACCAGTCCCAGCGATGGGTCGTGGGTCTTGTTTCGGAGGAATGTGTCCAATGACTCATGAGCCGTGCTGCACATGGGAGAGTACCCTGACATACCCTCACTTCTGTTGAAAGCAGCACACCATCTCGGTGTGGGTCCAAAACCGGGTCTGGTTGATGAAAGTTAATATAACCGACCAGTTGCAGCATCCTCCAAACCATCCATGATCCATGTCTGAATTTGAAGGACTATAAAATACCGATAAGTAAAAACTTCCTACTCGCCTAATCCATACTAATCCGGTCGGTCCCACACTTTGGGTCCGAACTCCTCTCTACCCCCCCAGCGACAACCGCATGCCCACGAACCGCATCTTCGTTCTCGGCCTCAAAGTGATGAAGGCCGAGGCCTGCAGGTTGGGCAACAAAAGAGCCCGGTTGGTTGTGCAAAGCACCTGGTGGCTTTCAGTGGCTGCCCTGCCTCGCTTTTCAATCCAAACAACTTGGTGCCAAGACTTCACTGAGGTCCGGGTAGGTCCGGGTAGGTCCGAGTTTGAAAAACGGACAAACAAGTTGTTCATGAAAGGAGCACCGGACAGGAGGCTCCATGCTTGGCAAAAGGAGCACTGTCACAATCGCTGTGACCAAGGGACGAACATGTTTTCGTAGGGGGAAAACAATACGGACCTCCGATGCTTCGAAGCATGTTCTTGAGGGAACCACGTTGTTCTCCTGTTGTTTGTAGATGGTTGATTCATAAAACATCCTAAAACCGTGACACTGGTAGGGGGATTCATTCATCAACAGCCCATATCATTGGTTTATCACCATGCGCCTTACTTTTCCCAATTTGACTGCAGTTCAGATTGCTCCAGGGCGTTTGGAGTGGACGTCTCAGCAATCCCCAAGAACGCCCGCCCGCTGAAGATCTCAGAATCTAGTGGTGGACATGGGATGAGCCTTCTGCATTTAGAAGGAACTACCTTGGACAGGATGTGCCATACTGACCCGACAGCGATGGAACCCATCGCCCAGAGCAGATCTGGCACATACAGATCTGGCACATACAACTCATCCACAACCTCCAAGAACATGGCTGTTGCAAAAGGCATCCATCCATCAATCCAGAAATAGGGTGCAGTCCGTAGTAGGTTTGGTCTGTCCATGTTTGGTCCAGCGGCAGACCAAACAATGTTTAATTCATAACGTTGAGTCACCTTGGCTTCTGGTCAGAGCGACAGTAGGGTCTGGGCCTGACTGAGCGGGGTATTTTCCTTTGGTTTTCTTTTTCGAAATACTCCCTCAGGATTGATACGAGTCTGACCGATGATTTCCCAGGGGCCAGATCACAGAACGTCACATCAGAAAAAACATGCGGAGCTGGGCGTTCCGACTTTTGCGACGCTTTGTCTGCAATATATTCCAAAATACATCTCATCTACCCGGTGGGCGGGCTGTACATAAACATATATGTATGTGTGTTATATATATATATTATATACGTAATTATATACAGTATATATACACCTTGTACCAGAACCGGGATGTGTTTTTTCGATCCAAAGGTTGTCTTTCAGACCTCTTCCACAATCCAAATATCAAAGTACCCGCCCATACAAAGTCTATGTTTTGACCCTATCAAAAATCTGTGGTCCTCATTAGCTATTAGCTGACGACTACCAACACACTATTTAAAATGTGCTAACAACCTGCTGTTTTTGCGCGTGTTTAAATAACATATATCATATAATAAAGTGTGCTCAACACATATTTGTTAACACATGTTTGAGGAAACAACAAAAAGACTTTTCGAGAAGTGTGGTTTCAAAATGTTCTGTTTACACTGTTGTTGTGTTTTTTTGTCTTGCGTTTTTGTTCTTAGTACTTGGCAAACATAGAATATTGTTTGTTATTTCGTTTAGTTCAAAGGTAATGAATAGAGGAAATCTAAAACAAATACAAACCAAAAACCAAAAAAACAAGCAAAATCAGAAACCAAACTCATCGGACAGTCTGTGCGTTTGATTGTTTTGTTTATGTGGGTGTTGATCTATATAAATTCCTTTATCTGGGATCCGTCATTCTAGCCAGAAAAAAATACTTTAGCCAAACTTTCGTCTTCCTGTGTTTTATCTTTCGCCGAAGTATGTTGTATTTATGTGTGCCGTGTATGTTGTATGATGGGTATCAAATTTGTTCATGTCAATGGCTTCTTCTTTACTGGCAATTATGAAATAAAACCTTCACTGTTTGTCAGCATGTGTCTTCTACTTAACTGTCGACAGCTGACACCCTGTACGTCTCTTTTGTTTCTCCTGGGTGTCAGCAAGAATCAAAAATTGCAAGAATCACTACAGTCACTATAGTAGCCGGTCACTCAGACTTACTCATAATGGGCTGGGGGTCAGATGTGGCAGGGTGAACTTTCGCCAATCTTGAGCTGAACGTTCGCCAAACTTTCGCCTTTTGTGGGGTAGAGTTTTGTGGCCAAGCCGCCCCCCCACAGCAGGAGCAGTAGCAGTAGTAGTAGTAGCAGTAGTAGTAGCTGCAGCAGCAGGAGTAGTAGTAGTAGTAGTAGTCGTCGTCGTAGTCGTAGTAGTAGTAGTAGTAGTCGTAGTAGTAGTAGTAGTAGTAGTATAGTAGTAGTAGTAGTAGTAGTAGTAGTCGTAGTCGTAGTCGTAGTCGCAGTCGTAGTAGTAGTAGTAGTAGTAGTAGTAGTAGTAGTAGTATAGTAGCAGTGGTAGTAGTAATAGTAGTAGTAGCAGTAGTAGTAGTGGGGTAGAGTTTTGTGGCCAAGCCGCCCCCCCACAGCAGAGCAGTAGCAGTAGTAGTAGTAGCAGGAGTAGTAGCTGCAGCAGCAGGAGTAGTAGTAGTAGTAGTCGTCGTCGTCGTAGTAGTAGTAGTAGTATAGTAGTAGTAGTATAGTAGTAGTAGTCGTCGTCGTCGTCGTCGTCGTAGTAGTAGTAGTAGTATAGTAGCAGTGGTAGTAGTAGTAGTAGTAGTAGTAGTGGTAGTAGTGGTAGTAGTAGTAGTGGTAGTAGTAGTAGTAGAAGTAGTCGTCGCCGTCGTCGTCGTCGTAGTAGTAGTAGTAGAGTAGTAGTAGTAGTCGTCGTCGTCGTCGTGGTAGTAGCAGTAGCAGCAGCAGTAGGAGTCGTAGTGGTAGTGGTAGTGGTAGTGGTAGTGGGAGTGGTAGTGGTAGTGGTAGTAGTAGTAGTAGTAGTAGTAGTAGTAGTGGTAGGAGTAGCAGTATGCAGTAGCAGCAGCAGCAGGAGTAGTAGTAGTAGTAGCAGCAGCAGGAGTAGTGGTAGTAGTAGTAGCAGTAGCAGTAGCAGTACTAGTAGTAGTAGTAGTAGTAGTAGTAGTAGTAACAGCAACAGCAGCAGAAAGAACATCTTTAGCCATATGTTTCGCCAAAAAATATGTTAGCCATATGTTTCGCCAAAAAATATGTTACTTTCGCGAACTCGAGAAACAACTTTCGCCAAATGATGTTTTGACATGTTCCAGGGTCATCGTAATCAACGCTATGTATTAGGACCTTTAGATGGACAACCATGTGTTCTTAGTCTCAAACTGGCAAAAGTATAGTCCTATGTGTTCTTTCTTTTGGTTCAAGAGTAATAAGTAAAGGAAGTCTAAAAGGAATACGAACCAATGCCAAAAGCTTAAAATAGACCGATCTGGCAGCAAGCTGCCCAAAAAACTATGTTGTTTAGTTTTTTGTTTTTGGTCAAACAATGCTAAACTATTATAGGATGTTCTTAGCACGTTTAAATATAATATATACAGTATATATTTATGTTTACATGTTATTAAAACTTCTTAAAACAGCAGGTTTGTAGCATCAATCCTGTTGAATTCTACTGATTTCCGTGTACATTCTTTTTGATTCCAATTGATTTGCCTTTAAACTATTTAACCAAGTACATCAGAAATCTTGAATAATATAACTTTACCCCCAATAGTGCCTGCCCCGTTTGGCTTCAATAAACATCCCGTGCAATCACGTCTACGCTTGTCATATTTCTTTAGCTTTATGTGTGAATTCCCTTTTAACATTACTTTTGTTTCTATTGATGCCTATTGAATTCCGTTCCTCTTGGTCCTTTAGAAATTAGTTAATCAAGTTCTTTGATTTCCCTTGTTATTACCCTGTGGAAAACTAACATGGACATACATGGACTCTGAAAACAACAGGTTTGTAGAGAAACACAGTCTTTCAGGGTCCCATTCGAACCGGGTCCATGTTACATTTCGGGAGTGTAAATCTTAGCAAAATATCACAAGAAAAACTATCCCACAAAGGGGTTAGCCCGGTACACTAGAATTCTTGAATAAGAACACCCTCTACATTAATGTCGGTTCCTTTTTGCTTTAAACCCAGGCCCCATGGCCACGCCTTCTGCTGCTTTAATAGTAACACCCCCTGGGTTAATGTCTATGTTTGTTTCATTGTTCAATAATATTACCCTCTCAAATATTGTCTGCACTTTGCTCTGGTATGACGTTTGAAACATTATCCCCTGCAATGATGTCTATGCCTATGCTGTTCATTGTTCATTCCTTTTATTTATGAACTCTCTTCCTGAAACTCCTTTTGTGTGTTTTCCTTGTTCTTGTTGATTCCCTTTGAACTCATTTTGATGGTTGTTGATTACCGTTTAAGTTTATTGTTATCAATTAAACTATTGTAAAAATCTATTCCACAAGGGTTTAGCCCATTACACTACAAATATTAAATAGTATAACTTTACCCCCTACAATAATGTTTGCCCTGTCCGGCTTTAACAAAATCAGAACTTGCAATCACGTCTATGCTGTTCATGTGTGTGTTTGTTTAATCTTTATGTGTGAATTCCCTTTTAAAATGCATTCTTCCTTGTTGATTTTATTGATTACATCTTGTGTTCCTATTGTTGTTTGTGTGATATCCTCTAAATTCCTTTTGAATCCTTGATTTCGCTTAAACTCTTAGTTGATTCATGTTTAACTCCCTTCTTGAACCTTGTCAAAGTATTGCAACAATCTATTCCGCACAGGGGGTAGCCGAGTACAGCAAAGCAGCTGGAAGAGCTGAAATGCAGGAATGCAGGAAAAGGTAGAAGAGCTGAAAAGCAGGAAAATGTATATCATCGGGGGTGAGCATCTATAAATATATATATACATTATACATTATAGATTATTATGAATTGTGTTCTCCTGACCTAGGCTAACTCTGTGAATCTTGAAAATCATAAACATGACGAAAAAAATCAAACAAAAAGCAGCTGCAAAAAACAAAAGCAAAAAAAACGAATCCACAAAGCAAAAAAAGCAAAAGAAAAAGCAAAAGCAAAAAACAAGCACATCTAAAGAGCTCAAAAAGCAAATGAAAAAGCAAAAAGCGCAAAAAAAAACACAAAACAAAAACGCAAAACAAAGAAAACAAATGAACAAGAAAAAGCCAAAAAACAAAAAAGCAACACATAGCAAATGAAAAAGCAAAAGCAAAACACAACAAATCCAAAAAACGAATGCAATTTTCTGCTTTTTCTTCGCTTGTTTTTTATTTGTTACTTTGTTTCCATGATGTTTGTTTTTTTGATTGCCCGCATGTTGTTCATTTGTTTGTTTTTCGCTGTTGTGTTTTGCTTTTTACGCATTTTTTTGTGCTTTTTCTTTTTTTTATCGCCTTTTTTGCAGTTTCTTTTTTTGTTTTTGTGTCGCTTTTTTGTTCGCTTTGTTCTTTTAATTGCAATTTTTACGCTTTTTGGTTCGCTTTTATTGTTTTTAGCGTTTTGCTTTTTCAGATGTTTTTTTTCCACTTTTTTGTTCGCTTTTTTTAGTTTTTCGTTTTTTCAGTTGTTTATATTGTTTTCCGCTTTTTTGTTCGCTTTTTTCGCTTTTCGCTTTTTCAGTTCGTTGTTTTGTTGTTCGCTTGTTTTTCGCTGTTGTTTGATTTTTGCTTTTCCATGTTTTTTTGTGTTTTTGTTGTTTCGTTTTTTTTTTGCTGTTTGCTGTTATATAATTTGCTATTTTTTTAGTTAAAGGATGTTTTTTAATTTTCTTTTCGTTTGCTTTATTTTGCTTTTTGGATTCGCTATTTTTTGCTTTTGCTTTTTGTAGTTGCTTTTATGTTCCGCTGTTTTTTGCTTTTTCATTATTTGGAAAAACCATCAGAGATAGCCTAAGTGGTTAACATAATTATAGAACATGGAAACGGCACATTCATGCAAATTCATTTCATTCATTATTTCAGTGACTTTTTGCCGGTTTTGATGCCAAGTTGGATCCCCATCTTCGAACACCCCGGCTTCGCCTCCATCTTCGCGGGCGCTTGGACTGCGGAAGCTACGTCTGGTCGTCTGGTCAGTCTCAGGTGACTTGGTCGTTTAAAAACTGCGCCGACGATATGAAACACAAGGCAACCCGTCCAACGTGGCCTATCCGGCCTACGCCATAGGATGTACAGTATCACTTAATGTACCAGGTTCAAGTCTCAGGTTCACTTGAGCGATCCTCTTGAATTGTCAGGTCCCGCCAACTTGGCATCGCGTCTTGGCAACTCTGACATCCTGAGCCAAAGCTACGAGACAGAGGCTACGAGCTGGCAGGCATGAATGCACTGTTTTGCAAAGCACTCGGAAAGGGCGCCTTTAAATGTCATGTCAGGAGAGTTGTCCTTGAAAGAGGTAGTGCCATGAATTCCTTGAAAAAGGGGGGAGGCCGGCCGCCTGAAAGGTCGGAAAAAGAACCCAAACACATGCCAATGGATTGAAGTTGAAGGGCAAATCGGGATTCCTTTTTTTCTGACCCACAACCCTTTTTTTCTGACCCACATCCTTTTTTTCTGACCCACAACCCCTCTTTTCTGACCCACAACCCTTCTTTTCTGACCCACAACCCTTCTTT